TGTCGGGCTGTCTGTGCCCTGAGGGACGTTCCGACAGCTGGGCTAGCATCTTCCATCCCGGGAAGAGAGGGTCCACACACTCCGAGGACCTTCCGGCGTCTGCGCCAACCTGGGGCTCTCCCCCACTGCAGTGTCTCTGATGAAAATGCCTGATCTGTGTGTCTCCTCGTGTGACCCCAGTTTATTCAGGCCACCCAGGGGTGGCCCCGGTGTTTCTCCCCAGTCCTCGCCTCCCCCCAGGAGTTGGGGAGATGAGGAGGATGGAAGCAAGGGCAGGCCCACGTCGGGGTGCCTTTGGGAGCGCGTCGGCCCTCGGCACTTACCTTCGCAGCTAGGTGAGCTGGCCGGTCCTCCCCAGATTTGCTAGGACAGTGAGACATGTCACAGTGCAGAGGTGAAGATGACTCCTCAGAGCCACAGTTCAGGGGTGGCCGGGGGCACTGAGGGCTTTGTGCCGAGAAACCGTCAGTCACAGCAAACCCTGTATTGGAAACCCAAAGTGACCTTCTTCAGCAGCCCTGCCCTCCAGGAGAAGGCAAGGACTTGCCTGGCATTTCCCTTTTAAAGTTTCAAGCCTTCCTCCTTTCCAGTCGGCTCTCGATCTGTTGGTGTGTAGCCTCGGTGCAGCTAAGTGAGTCGCGTGCACTGCTGTGAGGGTCCTCCGGGAAGGACTGCTTTGAGCTCCACTCCCGCTCTGTGCACCCTCCTGGCCTCCCCGCCTCCGCCCCCTCGCTCACTGCCTCTGCAGCCTGGAGAGGCGGGTTGCAGAAAACCTGAACTGGAAAACGTCAGAGCTGAGTTGTATACCATTGGACTGTGTCCGTCTTTAAAGATCAGATTTATCTGCTTCCTTCTGACTTTATTTTTTAAGAGGTTATCACCTTAGGGTGCATATGCTGGTTGGAGAGAGACAGACAGTGAGGGTGAGAGTGAGAAATCACTCCTGTGGGGGAATGGCCACCCCACAAATCCATTCTCCTCCTGGGACCTTGGGTACGCACACACACTATGATTTTCAAGCCACTGGGTCCAGGACTCGAACCACAGCTGGCTGTGTGGGAGTCCAGCGAAGTAACCGCTATGTCATTTGCTGGCCCTGCTCACTTCTGAATTTAAATCCTTCTTGGGAAGAGCTGCAGAAGGCCTATACAGAGGGAGGGTGGTTCCGGTTCCAGTTCACACCCAGAAGGAAGGTGGACTGAGCAGAGGAGTGGTCAGGGCTCCCCCTGGAATGGGCAGGAAGGCGGACATGCTGATGGGAGGGCAGAGGAGGCTCCCAGGTGTTACTCTGGGATCACTGTGTTGACTGGCTCTTCAAAATAGTCCCATCTCCAGCTTGAAAAGCCACGGGGCACTCGCGTGCGCAGCTGGAACTCAGTCTAAAGAACGTGCAAGTGGCACAGGGCTAGGCTGAGGGTACTTGGTCCCCGTGGTCGTCCCGTGGTGGGAGAGCGTTCTTGCTGGCGCCAGGCAGCCCGAGAGAGCTGGCTGGGGAGACACCAGCTGGGCACTCGGTATGTCCTCACACTTGGCGTCCGCTCTGCCCCGGAGAGGGGGCCTGCCAGCAGGTGAGGAGCGTCTGTCTGGCCAGGGCAGTCGGGGGTGATGAGGAAAACGGAATTAGCAAGGACATAAATGGGCCAACTTTAAGAAAAGACTATTTTGGAAAACGAACTCCCGTGTTTTCCTTCACACTCGGATCCTGTCTATGGGACACGCAGCAGTTTAATGATTGACTTGCAGAAAACTGAATTGGCCCATTCAGCGTCCACATTTCCCAAAGCCAGAGTTAGTTAGCTCTGCCTTTCCCTGGCCTGCCTGTCGAGAGTCAGGAACCCCACCTCAGCTCCTGCTGGTGCAACCTGCATCCCTAGGCCCATGCACCGGGAGGCTGAGCAACCTGAAGCTGAACCCGCTGCCCAGAGCAGGTGTGGGTCTGGCAACCAGTCGGCATGCAGCAGGCCACCAGTCAGAACAGTTTGCTTGAGTCGACCAATCAGAGCTGCACAGTTTCACGCCTTCATTTGCATACGTGGACCTGGTCGAAAACCTAGACGGGAACTATTTTTGTGTAAAAGCCCATCCCCGAACATGTTCAGGGACAGACGGGATTTGAGCAGACCCAGCTGTGTGCTGGGTGACCTCACCTTAATCAAGCTTTCCTCCTGGCTCAGTCTGGCCTTTCTGGCTGTGAGCCAGTTTCCAGTCCACCTGGGCTTGGCAACAGTGTCATTCTTCGGGGAAAGCCCTTGGAATGAGGAGCTCCGCCCCATGGCCTGGTTCTAGCCTCCGGAATTAGGCTCACTGCCCAAGGGGACAGTTCTCTGCTACGTTCGGTGCCTGTGAACACACCTGTGTATAGCCCCGTCCCGTGGAGGTGACGGCGCATCCGTGCATGCTCAGGGTGCCCCTTCTGGGTGATGCACTCTGTAATGTGGCCGTGCTAGTGCAGGCATGGCGTGTCCCTGCAGCGTCTAACCTCGGCTTCTTTCTGTGTGCCCACAGCTCCACTCAGCAGCCCTGGCGTCCCTCAAGGGAGACATAGTGGAGCTCAGTAAACGTCTGCAGCAGACAGAGCGGGAGCGAGACCTTCTGGAAAAGAAACTAGCCAAGGCACAGGTAAGGGAGCCCGAGCGCTCACTCTTTCAATTCTAAGGTAAAACAGAAAAATTCCTGCAGGGCAGATGCATCGTAAGGAGCACGCCCTAGACTTGGCCAGCGGCTGCTGAGCAGATGCCGTAGACGGAGTGGCTGCAGCCA